AAAAAGTGTTTTCTGCTTGCCTCTCACACCTGACATTTTCCTGGCTGTAACCATTACTGCATATTATTCTGTCTGCCTTTTCAGTGTAAAAAGGGCTAAACCCCTTTTTACTTGTTCACAATTGAATCTTAGTTCTAAGTAAAGTGGTTGGCACACTGAGAACACTTAAAAACTGTTTGTTGAAGAGACCCTGGATAGGGATTGAGTGTAAAAACAATATGGAACAAAACTCAAATTATTGGGGGGGAAAAAAAAAAAAAAAAAACAGGCTTACTGGTCTGACAGAGCCTGGTGAAACTCTCAAGGCCATAGCCCCTAGACACTGCTGGAATTGAACTCACTGTCTTCCAGCCAAATAACAGACAGGCATATCGGGTGAACATTTACATCAGGCAGATACACTCCTTAGAACTCAGTTGTGGGACAACAGAAGGGCAACAATTACACAGGGAGATAGAGGAGGGGGCAGGAAAGAAGGACACAGGGAAGAGGTAACTACAGGGAGGAAGTGGGAAGAGAGCTGTCACATTGTGGGGAAACGCAGTCAATGTCATGAAACAAAATGTGTATGAACTCCTGAATGGAAAATGAATTTGCTCTGTGAACTTTCACCCAAATCACAATAAAAATGTAAACAACGTTTGCTGAATGCATGAGTCAATCAACAGGAAAGGGAACAGCTAGGAGGAGCAATAGAGAGGCAATGTGTTCACGTCTGTTTGGTGTCACAGACTACCTCCCTGTCCTATCCTCTCCAGAGTCAGTGCTTTGTTCTTTCACGAGCTCCTACCCCAAAAGCTCTTTTTAATCTAGGGTTTCATCAAAAACTTTCTGGAAGGATCACCTCTTACACTGTCTTCATAAGAACTTTTTTTATTATTATTATTATTTAGAAATGCAGTTATATACACAGAACAATTAAAATTAAATTAAACTTTGTACAAATATTAAAATACTATCTTCACACCCACTGCAATGTACAGGATACCAAAAAATATATATATAAAATAAAATAAAGCAAACCCAAACTGATTGAGTTACATCCTGCACAGAGTCGATTATGCATGTGTTGGTTTAAACTATTATATATGAGTACCATTCTGCAAAGGATCCCATAGTGGTGCAACAGAAAGAAACCAGGGCAGGTGTAGCGGCTTACCCCGCTACTCCTTGCTCCTCTCTTTTCCCTTCTCGACCATCTGCCTGCTCTGCCCCCTGCACTCCCTCCAGCTAGCTCTGCAGAGGCTTCCATCTTGAGGTTTTCATTCAAATTTCTACTAGGCTTTCAACTGGAAATTAAGAAGAGCGCCTTCCCAGCAAAGCTGGGCCTGCTGCCTCCCCCTCTCTGGGGAACCAGCTACTGTACCACTCAGACCAAACATCCGCCAAGCAAAATACTCTCCAAGTCCCTCACTGGGGCACCAGTAATGACTGTCCCAATGCCGAGCCAGAAGACCCAGCATGCTTGTGAGATGCTCTCAGCCTCATTGTCCCTGGCAAACACATCTGGAATCAAGCTGTGAAGCTGGTCTGCCACTCCCCTTCTAGGCCCTTTTCTCTTTGAGGAAGGAGGGAAAAAGGGGGTGGGGATGTAGCAATGTTTGCAGCATATTCCATTCTCTATGCAAGGATGTTCCCCAGAAATGGAGGCGACATTGTTATGTAGGAAGCAAGTGGTTTGAGAGCTCAGCTGGGACTGAGAGAGGAACAAAGGCAGGCGCTATCTATCCTGCGCCACCACTAATGAAGCAGGAAGAATATACCTTTGTCTGTTTTGCCATCTAGCTTCCCCACAGAACTTTAAAGCTGGGGGTGGGAGAAGGGCAAGATGAATAGGGAAGACACTATTAGCTCAGGTTTTGTTTAAAGATGGGAGTGTTTGTACAATGCAAATTGAAATGTCTTATAAACACCAAACAAACTCACTAAGTGGCCAGGACTCAGCCCATTTCACAGTTCACACCCAGTGAAATGGGAGCACAGTACACAAAACACAGAAACAGTGAAAGACAGCGCTAACCTACTAAGGCATTGAAAGGGATGGAGATTTGAAGTGATTTTCACCTTATACCGGCCCTTGAAGGTCGCTAGAATGCAACCACAAGTCACCAGGGCATGAAACCTGCATTGAGTCAGCTCAAGTGTGCAAAAAAGAATTTTTTAAGGGTCCTTTGGTGCTGACCATTTCTCCTGGACAAAGCCTTCTCTGGACTCCCCAAGAGGTCAGCCTGGGAAAGCTGAGCTGTGGCCACAGTATTTGCCCCGTCTAGCCCAGGATCCTTGGCAGCCTCCTTCCCAAGAGGACTGCCATCTGCCTTTGTCTTTCAGCCAGTCCCAACCACCACGCAGCTGTGGAGGCCCTAATCCTCTGCAAGGGGCAAAGCCCAGAAGCCCCCCAAAAAGTAGCATATGGCTGATGGCTAAGAAGTTGATTTTGAGGAAAGAGAAATAGCTGTGGGAAGCTGTCCTAGATGTCAGCAGCAGTTTGAGATTTCAGCTCCTGCCCCCACAGGCACAGGAGCCTTGGCGAGATGGGCCTCATCAAAGCCAGTGACGAGGAGGGGCTCTGATTTTTTTTCTGACTTTTCTTTCTTACCAGACAGGCAGGTTTGGACTTGTCACCCCCAGGGTGGGGTTAATGGAGGGTACGTGGAAGGAGGCTTTAGAAGTCAGGCTGAATAAATGCAAAACAAAAACGTGCAATCTCTTCAGGGGAAAAAATCAGAGTAGCAAGATGAAAAGGGGTAAGATCTTCCATTTTTTAAATATGCTAGACTAGAATTCAGATTTTGGAAAACTAGAGAATAAAAGCTGAAGGCTCAGCAGTGAGCGTTAAGATCCCCTCATTTGTCCCTGTTTTCTTTTTTTGGAGGAAGACAAGGGCCCCTGTATGGTGAGGCAGCTGGGCTTGTTAGGGACCACACCATCCAGATGGGCCCAGTGCCAGGAGCTGATGGCAGACATGTCCTTGGAAACAGCCTCTTCTGAGGCCAAGGACAGGCCCTCAACTAGTCTGTCTCATCTCCCTCAGACGGCTGCTGTGTTCTAGCACCTTCACCAACCTGCTCATCTCTTGCCTGGGCTTTCAGCACAGCTTGAGAGGGCTCCCATGTGGAAGGGGAGAAACGTGTGGGAGCGGCTAAGGAGCATAGCAGGCACTGGCCTTACCCTGAGAGGAAGGAAGACTGCGTGTGGGTGCAAGAAGCCAGGGAATGACGGGTAGTAAAGTGCGTTGTGTGAAAGCAGAGGCAGGAGGCTGGCTGAGAGAAGGCCAGGCCCCTAATGTTCAAGGCCACCCAGGCCTGGAGCTAACCCTATTAGGTCAGGTACTGAAATTATCCTGGGATTTCTGTTATTTTCACCACCCCAAACATGGAGACGAGGAAGAGGAAGAAGAGGAGGAGGAGGAAACATGCAGCACAGGGTCAGCTTCAAAGTTTCCAGGCCCTGGTGCTTCAAAAAATATCAAAGGGGAAAAAAAATTCCTTAATGCCACATCTTCTGAGATGACAGCAGCCTGGTTGAGCTTCTCTGCCCCAGCCTTGTTAACATTCAGCAGAGGGCGAGGAGAGGCCCCCCCCCAGCACAAACAGCTGGAGCACCAAGCCCACTCCTCCAACCCTGGGGCTCTTTGAGGACCCTGTGCCCTGGGCTTCGGTCTAAAGGTGCTTGAGTCAGGATGCTGCACAGCCACTCACCCACCCCAGGCCAGCAAGCTCGGGGATGCATGGGCACTGCTCCTCAGCCCTTCCCCAGGCTGTCAGAGCACACAGGGAGTCATCTGTGAGCTGGGATGTGTGGAGGGGTGAGCAGGAAAGGGCAGGAGGAGGAAAAGCAGCAACACAGCAAGCAGCAGCCTCTTCCTGGGCACAGTTACTAAGGCACGTGACCATGGTGAGGAGGATCCTCAGGACGGGGGCTTGGAGCTGCAGGAGCCGCCCAGGGCACAGTCTGTGCCTCTCAGGCTCTCTTCCGTCACCACGAACTCAGAAGGGGCAACTTGCCCAAACTGCCAGTGACCAGATGGCATTCCATGGCATCTGAGCTACTCTGCTGTCTCAGGGATGGCTTGCCTCAGGCCTCTGTGGGGAGCAAGGAAACCAGAGCTGCCTGGGAGAAAACCCAGAAGGCAGCATGGAACTTCCACTTATGCTCCAGGGACACAGGGAAAAACTGAGGCTGGAAGGCTGATGCTGGAAGTGAGAAGTTGCATATTAGGAAGACAATCATTATCAGCCACTTTCCTTCCCTCCCTCGGGATCTTCTAGACGCTTCTCAGGCACTCTCACCCCAACAGGGCCAAGAGCCTATGCCTCTGAGCTGGACAGCTGGGAGCCAGAATGGTGTCGCCATGATTTTCCAAATCGGCCAAGGAAATGCACTCCCAGTGTCAGCAATCCCAGGGCCCTGTGATTCTTACCCAAACTGCCCTAATGAGAGGCACTTGACTACAGAGCTTTCATCTTGGATCTGCTCCTACCCAGGAGAGCAGTGCCAGCCCTCAAAGGTAACAGGCTAGACCCCAGGTCAGCCTCCCATAGGGCAAGGGGCAGCAGTGCAGCCATTTAGGCTTGTAGGACACCAACAAGCCTATGTGACAGGGAAACCGGATGGGTTAGGGGGAAGGCACGAGTAAACACAGTGGCACTCAGGTCCACGCAGGCTGTGGAGGCTGCCACCAAAAAGCTGGCTAGAGGGGACCCCAAGGGCTCAGGGAAAGGAAGGGTTCAATCCAGCACATTCAAATATGTCCCTGACACAGATGGGAGGGCAGGGCCAGGCAAAAAGCCAGCTCCTCCAGCTGTCCAGCAGGCAGATGGCAAGAATCTTCCTTTGAATTTCCAGCTAGGAGGGATGCAGGCCCTCAGAGACACTTAGATACAAAGGTGGTAGCTCAGGTATCCGGGCAGGTGGCTGGAGAGCACAGGTGCTCAAACCCACAGGGCGAGGGAGGAAGGGCAGAGGACCATCGCAGAAAGGAGAGAGGCTGGCAGCAGCCCTCAGGCTTCTTTCAGCAGTGGAATATCTGCAGGAGCAGGAAAGGAGAGAACAGCAGTTAGCACACATGGGTCTCTCTACAGCATACATGATCCCACTTTAACTGTCTCCAGGCAGCTGCTAGTCTAAAGAAATGAAATGTCTTACTGCCATGTACTTCTAGATAGCTTAACCACCCCCACTCTTCTTCTTTTTAGGCCTTTCCACTCATTTCTCCCACTGCCTATGTGTTAGTTTGAATGTTCAATGTGACATGCAAACCCCTTCTGGTTCCTCCAACTTGAACACTCCTCTCTGCTCCAGTTCTATCTAGCTGGTCACTTTCCTTTCACTCCTCAATCTCATCCTACTTGGTCCCAAAGTCCTGCTCAAGTCCCACCTCCTCCTCAATGCTGTCTGTCATCTGTGTGACTTCAGGTAAATCACTTCCCCTTGCTGGGTCTCAATCTCCTCCCATATCATAAGGGGTTAGATTGATGCCTCAAAGTCATGCCTCCCTATGGCCTCTTGGTCCCAGACAGCTCAGACATGGCCTGCAATGAGTTGCTTTTTTCTGACATTCAACGTGCCTTGTTTTCTGAACCCTTCATTTTGACACAGATGCTACGATTTCTGGCTTATTATTTCTCAGGTGTAGGTCCCACCTTCCCAACTGACTACCACTTCATCCAGGCAAAGAGCATGTTTCATATTTCTCTGCATCATCCTTGAGACCTAACCTAGCACCAGACACAAGACACATGGAACAAAGCAATGCAGGGAGGAGAAGGGAAAGTGCAGGGGATCATCTTGGCCCTTTCGAGAAGGTAAGGCCTGAGACTTGTGCTTGGGCACATCTCACAGTACGTCTGTCCATGGGGCTGATTGGCTTCCACATTTAAACCTGGGTCAGCTATTAAATGGCCCTTTCCTATCTCTATATCCAACCAAGAAAAATGAATGCATGCTGCTGGTAATCAGGAAACTCCATAAACATGATCTGCATTTAAGAATGTTCAACTCCTCAGATATTCTAAACCTTTAACACTCACTGTGCCAGGGTTCCCAGGAAGCATGAAGTTTCTTCTAAGGCTATTTTAGGGGTCCTTTACAAATGCACGAGAACTCACAGGTGAAAATAAAGCATCTAGCTTTATTTTGCAGCCTGAACCACACTGGGATTCCACTTGAAGATATTTTTCACAGAGATAACACCAATCTCAAAGTCAAACTCTCCAGGCTTTAGCAAAAACAAAACCAAACTCACTGCCGTCGAGTAGTTTCTGACTCAAAGAGAACCCACCACCCTTGGGTTTCTGAGGCGGTATCACTAAAAAAGTAGACTGCCTAATCTTCCTTCTGAGGAGTGGCTGGTGGGTTTGAACCACCAGCTTTCTGGTTAGCAATGAAATGTCTTAGGCACTACACTACCAGAGCTCCCACAATTTTACTTTGTGGCTTTTTTGTCACAAAGGGGCTCAAGTCTTCTGGGAGGCAGCAAGACACCTTATAAACACAGGCTTTGGAGCCAGGACTGTCTGGATTCAAATTTCAGCTCAGCCACTTAACAGAAGGCAAGTGACTTATTTGCTTGAAGCCTCAAGTTTCCTTGTTTGTAAGATGGGGATGGTAATAATACCTACTTCTCAAAATCATTGTCAAGTTTAACTGCGATAGAGCAAGAAAACCAATGCGCACAGTACCTGGCACTTATTATTCCTATTTAAAATGAAGTCGCTGTCTTTTCTGAAAGAGTCAAGGCTCCTGTTTCCTCTGTAATACGATCCTAAGCCACCCTGTCATTCTTTGCCTTCCAGAAACAAAAAATTATAATAAAAGGACAGACACCTCTGTCCCCAACCAGCTATCCAGCCTTTAATTGAGTATAGGCCTGTGGCCATGAATAAACAGTCTATGAGACTCTGGACTCAAAATGCACAGACAACAATTCCCTATAAAGAGCCTGAAGCCCTCCCTGGAGCTCTGAGAGAGAAATCTTACTTTTTCACAAAAAGAGAGAGACCATCTCTCCTACCCCAGGTGCTATTTTGCTTGGCCCCAATGATGTCAGTGGGGGTCATTATCAGAAAGGCTCATGGTCTTTCTTCATGGTCAGCAAGGACCCTCTGCAGCTTATAATTCATCAGCAGCACAGACCACCTACCATCTGTATACTCCTCTGACGTGAGGGATAGAAGGCTCTGTATGTCACTGTTCTCAGAATCTGGTGCTTCTTTGTGTATGGGGCGGCTGTTCCCTGAGCCAGCCACCCAGGAAGAGGTGGTTGCCTGATGCACCATCACAGTCTCGGAGCCCCGGGAGCCCCAGGCTTCACATAGTCCAGAGTGGCCGGGGGCCTCATCTTCTCCACCCGCAGAGGAGCAGGCGCCCTGGTCCTGCAGCTGCTGCTCCCTCGGCACACTCCTCTCACTCGGCCCAGACCCTTCTGACAGCACAATTTGTACTCTGGGGTCAGCGGGCGGCACACAGTGACCGGAACTGCCATATACAGCCTCTTCATATGACGGCAGTGCAACCTGGACGCCATCCACCATAATGGAGACCTGGTCCCCAGACACCCCCTGGTCACGTCTGGATCCAGAGAAGGAAAAGAACAAGAGAAGAATTTAAATAAGTAACAGATCAATAATAGCTCTAAGTGCTCTTACACACTTTGCCACAGTTGAGTCCTCACCGGAGCCCTCTGAGACAGAAATTCAGCTAGAATGCTGAGGAGGCTCAGGGAAGTTAAGTAACTTGCTCACAGTCACACAGCTGTATTGAATTCCAGCTCCATCTGTCTCTAACCTCTGGGCACCCGGCACTTGGTTCCATGCAAAACTAGAAACCTAGGAACCCAGAAATAAAGCCATTCATTCAGCATAGCTAGGAGAAGAAAGTGAGGGAGTCCTGGGTCTTGAATGAGACATGGGACTGGAAATCAGAAGTAATCTGTTCTTTTGTCTCAGCTACTTTTTTTTTTTAAATTTTGCTTAACTATTTAAAAACTATATGTGAATTACAACACAGAGATAGGAAAGAACACACAGAAAAATGCACAGCTCACTGATTGATCACAAAGGTAACACTGAAAGAGAACTCTGTCAGCACCCCAGACAGCCTTGGACCTGTCTCTATCACTTCTCGTTTCCTTACCACCAAAAGTAACCACTAGCCTGATTTTCATGGAAATCATTCTTTGCTTTTTATTTTATTAGTGTCACCACCTAAACACAAATTCTTCAAGACTGCTGTTCAATTCTGCCCATTTTCCATCTTCATACGAATGGGACTACACTACATTTTTGTGTGTCTCTGTGTGTGTGTCTTGCTTTTTTGCTCGACATGATGTAAGATTTATTTATGCAGACACCTTCTTTTCGATCACTTTTGTGTGTACATATGTATGTATCTGCATACACACACTTTTTTCTGAACCAGTTGAAAGTAAGTTGAAAATATTACTTAGCATGTACCTCCTAAGAACAAGGACATTCCTCTCCTATATAACTCCATCATCAAATCCAAGAAGTTTAACATTGGTATACTATGACTACAATACAAAAATTCCCAACTGTCTAAAAGTACATCCATTTCAGCTATTGCTGTCTTCGTTTCAATTCAGGACCTAATTAAGGATCATGCATCGTATTTAGTTACCAGGATTCTTTTCATCTCCTTCAAACTAGAATAGTTCACTCATTTTTTTTTTTTCTTTTTTTCATGCTATTGACATTTTTGTAATAGTTCAGGCCAGCTGTCTCTCAGAATTTTCCACAATCTGTATTTGTCTGACAGTGTCCTCAGGATTAGATTCAGATTAATTTCCCCCAAACCACCCCTAGATTTTCATTTTATTACTTTTATTTGTGGTAAAATACACACAATATAAAATGTGCCATTTTAACCATTTCAAGTACACATTTCAGTGGCATTAATGTTACTTACAACGTTGTATCATCACCACTATTAGTTTACAGATATTTTCATCATGTCACACAGAAATCCTATACCCATTAAGCAGTAATTTCTCATTCCCCCTGCTCCTAGGCCAAAGTAATAACTGATTTACTTTCTGTCTCTATGTGTTCTGGTTACCTAGTACTGCTCTGACAAGAATATACCACAAATGGGATGGCTTAAACAAACAGGAGTTTATTCTTACAATTTGGAGGCTTTAAGTCCAAGGTCAAAGTGCCAGGCTCTAGGGGCTGGGTGAAAGCCCCTCAACCCTGGGGTCCAGCTCTGCCTCCTGCTCCCAGCCCACTGGAGCTAGAGGCAATTCTTCACTCAGACAGCTGCTGGCTGCTGAGGCTGAGAAGCCCCAAGGTTGACAAGTAAAAAGGCACAGTCCTGATGTTACCAAACCACATGGCCGGCCATTAACTTAAGTGCATTGTAAGTCCCAAGGTCGGCAGAGCGTGGCAGGCTGCTGAGCGACAACATGGTTACATGCAGGGTCCAAGCGTGCCACAGGCTTGAGACCATTCCCAAGGCTTCTCCTTAAATACAGGAAGCAGACCACATTCCCAGAGGCAGCTACTCAGCTGCTTGTGGTAGATCCCACCATGGCGTTGATTGCCATTCTCATCATAGGGAATAACTACCACCAACTGCCCAGCCACTTGACCAGGCCCAGCCAAGTTGACACACAAACGGAACTACCACAGTCCTCAAAGTGCCATCTTTGTTTTTGATGTCACTTCTTTTGCAGAAGAGTCTTCTGCAGCAGATTTGTCCATTGCAATACATCATTTGATTTCATAACTGTGCTTCCACAGGTACTGATCGTGGTTCCAAGTAATATCAAATCCCTGACAACTTCAGTCTTTCCTCCATTTATCATGATATTGTCCAGTTGTAAAGATTTCTGTTTTCTTCATATTGAGGTGTAATCCATACAAGTCTGTAGTCTTGGATCTTTATCAGTAATAGCTTCAAGTCTTCTTCACTTTCAGCAAGCAAAGTTGTGTCATCTGCGGGTCCCAAGTTGTTCATGATCTTTCTCCAATCCTGATTCCACATTCTTCTTCATATAGTCCAGTTCCTTGGATTAACTGCTCAGTGCACAGATTGAATAAGTATGATGAAAGAATAAAACCTAAATGTGATGCACACCTTTCCTGATTTTAAACCATGCAGTATTCTCTTGTTCTGTAGAATGACTGCTTCTTGGTCCATGTACAGGCTCCGCAAGAGCACAGTTAAGTGTTCTGCAATTCCCATTCTACACAGTGCTATTTGTGTGGATAACAAATTATGAATAACATTGAGAAGAATGGGAATTCCAGAACACTTGATTGTACTCATGAGGAACCTGTACATAGATCAGGAGGCTGTCATTCAAACAGAACAAGGGGATACTGCATGGCTTAAAATCAGGAAGAGAGTGCATCCGGGTTGTATCCTTCCACCATACTACTTCAATCTGTATGCTGAGCAAATAAACCAAGAAACTAGATTACATAAAGATGAACTGGCATCAGGATTGGAGGAAAACTCGTTAACCTGCAATATGCAGATGACACAACTTCGCTTGCTGAAAGTGAGAATGACTTGAAGCACTTCCTAATGAAAGAAGATTAAAGATTACAGTCTGCAGTATGGATTACACCTCAACATAAAGAAAACAAAAATCCTCACAACTGGTCCAATAAATAGCTTCATGATGGATGGAGAAAGGATTGAAGTTGTTAAAGATTCCATATTACTTGGTTCCACAATCCACACCAATGGAAGCAGCAGTCAAAATATCAGATGACGTATTGCCTTGGGCAAATCTGCTATAAAAGACCTTTCTCAAGTGATGAAGAGCAAAGATGTATCCTTAAAGACTAAGGTGCATCTAACCCAAGCCATGGTATTTTTAATCACCTTTTACGCATGTGAGAGCCAGATAATGAATAAGGAAGACTGAAGAGTAGTTGATGCTTTTGAGTTGTGGTGTTAGAGAAGAATGCTAAGAGTATCATGGACTGCTAAAAGGACTAATAGATCTGTCCTGGAAGAAGTACAGCTGGAATACTTCTTGCATGCGAGAATGGCCAGACTTCGTCTCACTTACTTTAGTCATGTTGTCAGGAGGAACCATTTCCTGGAGAAGGATATTATGCTTGGTAAAGTGGAGGGTCAACGAAGAAGGGGAAGGCCCTCAACGAGATAGAATGACATAGTGGCTGCAACGATGGGCTCAGGTATAGCAAGAATCATGAGGCTGGCACAGTACTGGGTAGTGTTTCATTCTGCTGTGCACAGGGTCGCTATGAGTCAGAGACAACTCAACAGTGCCAAACAACAACAGCATTATTCATAATTTGTTATGATCCACACAGTTGAATGCCTCTGGATAGTCAATAAAACACTAGTATCCTCTGCTTTCAGCCAAGATCCATCTGACATCAGCAGTGATATCCTGTGTTCCATGCCCTCTTCTGAATCCAGCCTGAATTCCCGGCAGTTCCCTGTCAATGTACTGCTCCAGCCATTTTTGAATTGTCTTCAGCAAAACTGTACTTGTGTGTGATATTTATGATATTGTTTGATAATTTCCTCTTTCTGTTGGATCACCTTTCTCTGGAATGAGTATAAATATGGACCTCTTCCAGTCAGTTGGCCATGTAGCTGTCTTCCAAATTTCCTGGCATAATTAAGTAAGCACCTCCAGTGCTGCAATCTGTTTGTTGAAACATCTCAATAGGTATTCTGTCAATTCCTGAAGCCTTGTTTTTCGCCAATTCTTTTGGCACAGTTTGGACTTCTTCCTTCAATACCATTGTTCCTGATCATATGCTACCTCCTGAAATGGTTGAACGTCAACCAATTCTTTTTGGTACAGTGACCCTGTGTATTCTTTCCATCTTCTTTTGATGCTTCCTGCATCATTCAATATTTTGCCTACAGAATCTTTCAATATTGCAACTCAAGTCTTCAATTTTTTCTTCAGTTTTTTCAGCTGGAGAAATGCCAAGTATGTTCTTCACTTTTGGTTTTCTAACTACAAGTCTTTGGGCATTTCATTATACTGTTTTGTCTTCTGTAGCTACCCTTTGAAATCTTCTGTTCAGCTCTTTCACTTCATCATTTCTTCTACTTGCTTTAGCTTCTCTATGTGCTACGAGCAAGTTTCAGAATCTCTTCTGACATCCATTTTTGTCTTTTCTTCTTTCCTGTCTTCTTAATGACGTTTTGCTTTTTTCATTTATGATATTCTTGATGTCATTCCACAACTCATCTGGTCTTCAGTCAGTGGTGTTCAATGCATTAAATCTATTCTTGAGATGGTCTCTAAATTCAGGTAGGATATACTCAAGGTTGTACACTGGCATTCCATTACTAGACCCTATTATTATTATTGCTAGACTGTTATTAGTTCTAAATTTCCCTGTCAGTTCTTGGATATAAAATCTCTACCTCCTAATTTATTCAAATGGTGTATCTACTGTGAGGATGAAAGAAGTGGCACCCACAACAGGGCTCAGTCATCTTTGGAAGAAAGGGAAACATGCAGGGCATGGAAAGTAAAAAAGTAGTACGTGTACATGCCTGCGGTGTAGTAAATTACCTGGTATGGCTTTTCCAGCCCTAAGTCTTTGTAAACTCTGTGGCAGAATTTACTGTGAGAAACTGAGTAGCTCCTGATTGTTAAAGTTATCCACTTGGGGTATTTCTGTTGGAAGCAACACCAAGTAATTTTCTAGGAAGTTCTCTTTCTCTCAAGTGTATAGAATTCTGATGTTGGGATTGGTTACTTTGCCACTCTGCCAGGCTCAAAAGGAACCCTCCTAGAGGCAGAAGAAATCTCTCACTGCTGGCTGAGAGACGTGAGAGACATTCATTGCTGAAACACTGAGAGATGCACTGCTGGAACAGAGACTGACAGAGACTGTTGGCTGAGACATGGTGGCCTGAGAGAAACTGAGTGTGTTCCTGAACTTGAATTGTAACCTGTTGCTTCCCTAATAAACCCCATAATCTGTGAGTTCTACGTGGCCACTGCAGCAAATTATTGAACCCAGCAGAGAGGTGTTGGGTGCTGTGGGAGGAATGGCTGGTGCCAGGATTGGTGAAAGGGCTGGAGGGAGGCAGCATATCTGGCCTCGCAGGAGTAGGCCTTGGGCTACTGATGGTGATTCTCTCTTCCTCTTATGGGGTTAGAGGAGGTCAGAATATATGGCCTCCCTGCCTCTTTGACAACGCCATAAAGTTTAAACAGGTAAACAATGAAGTGAAAATCTCCCTTCCACTTAAGTCAGTCAAAGCAGCCAGTTACTTTTAATAGACTTACCAGTTAATTATAGGGGCAGGGGGATTCCATAATTTAGGTGAAATACAAAACAGATCAATTTGACTTTATGTGCAAATATCTGACGCTTTCAAGTAAAGAGTCACCTTCAAATCCTCTTTATCATATTGTTCAACACCCTTCCAAAATAACCACTAACTTCAAAACACAGTTTAAAGAGAAAGACAGACCACATACAGCACAAGGAGACTAGTACCTAGAGTTTGGTCCTTGTGTAAGTTCCAACCAGCAGCATGTTAGTTAACAGGTTTGGTTTGGTTCTTCGTGCCTGTGCATCATGACAGTGGCTGATGAATAGGATGTGGGAGGGGTGTGAATGAAAATAAAACTCATGAGGAAATGAAGATGACTCAAGCAGTTCCAGAAGCTGTGACAAGCTAGGACAGAAGTCTATCATAAGGGAGCTACTTGGGGTCAGGTCCCCATCATTTGTGCCCCCACTTTACCCTCCCAGTCTGGGATGATTTGTGGTTAATGCACAAAGTGACAAAGGCAGCACAAAAATCCACTTCCTCTGTTTCCAGTACAATGCACTGGTTCTCAATCCTGGCTTCACATCAGAACTGCCTAGGAAGCTTTAGAAAAAGTACTAATTTTCCAAACTAAGTAAACCAGAATGCCTGGGGATGGAGGCCCAGACGTTGGTATTTGTTTTGAACTTCCCCTAGGAGTCTCTATGAGCAGCCAGAATTGAGAACCAGGGATACAGGGCAGTGGCTCTCAAATATGAGTGTGCATCAGAATCATCCAGAGAGTTTGCTAAAACCTATCACTGGGCCGTTAGAGGTTCTCACATTCAGAAGGTCTGGGATAGAGACTGAGAATCTGCATTTCTAGCAAGTTTCCAGGTGATACTGATGCTTCTGGTCTGGGGACCACACTTTGAGAACCTCTTACACAGGGGAAATGATGTGACTTAAGAGTTAGAGAGATATGGATTCAAACTTCAGCTTTGCCATCATCTAAAAGTATGACCTTGAGTGACTGACTGACTTTCTCCGAGTCTCGGTTTCCTTATTGGCAATGTTCCTATGAGGATTATTATACTGCAGGCAAAGCAAAGAGTACAAGCCCCAGGCATATCCAAAAGTTTAGTACATGGCAGGGCTCTCCCCTTCCACTGGACAAATACAAGACCAGTAGAGTCTGCTAGGCCCACCAACAATGCTCTGTCTGCCAAAGGCCAGGCCCCCAGCTATGCCTCCCAGGCTTACCTGCTGTGATGGAAAGACTTCAGCTTTGGCTGCAACAGCACAAACAGCACCACAAGGAGGAGAATAAGTGCCACAGAGCTGGCAGTGGATGCCACTATGGACAGTGTGGGAACTCCAAGTGACGTGTGAGCATCTTTGTCTATGGAAACAAACCATCATCAGAAGCATTTTCTATCCAGACACATGAAACACGAGCCCCACAGACCTTGTCAAATGCCCCTTTCATGGTACCATGCAGAGACATCCTATAGCCCAGGCTATTTCAGGAATAACAGCACAGAGCAGCCGATGTACTTACGGTGCTTCTGGAAAGGGACCACTTCCCTATTCTTTTTCCTGAATATAAAATTCCCTTTACTTCTAGCCTTTGATCTCACTTTCATAATACACTTATGGTCCTGTCCTCAGGAGCAGGCTGATAAACCTGAAACATTTAGATGGGCACACTGCTCCATCATCTTAAGTTCCACCCACGTTTCTTGCCATGTGGCAGGAAAATCTACAAGAACTGGGCTATAATGACCCCCTGAGCTTCAGTTGTAAATTATAGACTGATTTTCACTCAAGGCCTTTTCTGGGGGTGTTACAGGCTCTGGTAGTGAAGCCTGAGTGTGGAGTACAAAGACAGCTGCACAACACACCTTCCTGCAGGCAGCTGGGTTTTCCTATCATGAAAGACAGGAGGAGGAAGGAGGGGAAGAGGTCTCTGTCCAGCTAAATGTAGCTCCATAATAAAACAGTCCATTTCCATTCAAGGAAAAATAAAATAAAAGACACACTAGAGAAGGTGCTGGTATCTGCTCATTGTGTTACAAGAACCTGGTCAAAGATCACCACCACTAGGCTAGGCAAACAAGAGATCCTGAAAATCAAAGGGACTTTATATAACAGGGCAGATACTTCAGTAAAGCCACTGAGCTGCCAGGCAATTCAGCTGAATTCAAGGAGGCATGCATCAGTAACCCCAAATTTCTTTCACAAAGACAAAGAATCTCAAAGGAAGGCAGGATGCAGGCCACCAAACAGGCTATATCACTCCACAAGCAAAGGGAGCTTTAGAGGAAGCGTATGCCACTTCCCATGAGTTAAAAGAAAGCAGAACCCCTGTAGCATCTCTCTCCCATCTGCCAGACTGACCCTCATTGAGATGGCAGCTAATCTCCATGGCTGGTTTCCACTCGCCATTCTTACACGTCAGGTATTTGTAATCACCCTTCAACATGTAGCCTTCAGCACACAGGTACTCGATGACACTGCCTGCTGTCAAGGGGTCTCTGCAGGGCCGGGGGTGGCAGACGTAGCCACCATTCTCTGGCTCCGGGGGCCGGGGGCACACTGCAAAGACAAGGAGAGAGTGGTGGTACACTGGTGAGGTTGTCTGGTGACATGGAGGGAGTTAGCTCTAAAGGCCTCAACTGGAAACACGAGATGAGCAAAGAGCCATTCCCTTGGGAAGGCTCTTGGCCAAACCCTGGAGATTCCGGTTGCCACCAACAGAGGGAAGTTTGCTTGCTGGCAACAGGGGAAGTTCGGCTGCCTGCACCATTTCCCCTTTTCCTCACACTGTGCCTTAAGAGAACTGCATCCATAATGTGCAATAGACCCTGACAATGTCTTGAACCTACAGAGATCTAGAAATAATATGGTTTTAATAAAATCTCTACAAACACATCATGAACTGCAATGAAAGGTAGTAAAATACTGTTAACCTGTGAGGGGGAAATGTTAGCCTCTTTTGCAATATCAATGCCAGAAAGGGATTCAATAGTATAATAAAAACATGTGTTCTCAGCCTCACAGGGGATTTTGGATGTACTCCTTGGGAGGTTCCCACACCCTCTGTACATCTTCCACTCACTGACTAGTAATTGGCATCACTCTACCCACAGTGAACCCCATACTTTTCGTTCAGGTAGGACTGGCTAGGTTTAAAAGCACTTTCAGCTACACCATTATTCCCCTGTGAAGACAGGACACTGAGGCCCAACAAAAGTTAAGGTGCAGTAAATGGCAGACCTGAGACCAGAGTCAAGTCTGACTCAAAAACCTATGTACTTTCCACCAGAAGATGCTGTGTCTGTTCCACAAGCTGAGCGCTTTAAGAGGGATATAAGGGTCAAAGTTACCTCCCCTTGAAACAGGCTGTTAGGGAGGTGGGGGCAGGGTGCCTAAATGTGGTGGAGATCCTGGCCTGGTTAAGTTGCAATGATGAGAAGTCAGAGGAGCTACAAAGACTGAGCAGCCCTAGGGAGGAGAAGGGTGGTCCCACAGCCTGCCCTTCTGACCACGGTCAGACACTGCAGAACTGAAGCCCCCAGGCACCAGTCTGTTGGGTGTGCCCAGCCCAAAAAGGAAGCACATGGTAGGGGCACGAAGGGACCATTGTTTGTGAGACTGAGCAGGGGGAGAAGAAATGCCGGCAGGATGGCCAGGCACTCACAAATTTCAACTTTCCAAAAGCCTTCCTACTACAAGGAAAGATCAAAAGTTTTCCAAAGGAAACCTGATTTTGCTGACAAATACCCTGTTGCAGCTCTGTCCCCATCCTAAACATCACAAAACATCTCCATCAGAATAAGAACTGTCGTTTCCTTTTTTCACTTCCTCTAACAGGCCTGGAGTGACTGGGAGTCATACCACCGTATCTGTGACTGCCCAACATAAGGTGTCTCCCATTCATAAAACTGAGTGCACGCTCATGCAGATGGACGCTGAAATGTACAGCCTTGTGCACCAAATACCACTTCCTTTCTTGTTACAAATAAAGCAAGCTGACTGCCAGCCAGGCTGAGGAGGATACCAAGACCAAAGAGACATAATGGCCTCCTGCCCTCAAGCTGCTTATACATGAGATGGGGAAAAAAGACTCCATTGGCAGGGGGTGGGGTGGTGGTGGAGGTGGTGGTGATGGTGGTGGTGGTGGTGGAGGAGGAGGATATGCTGAAAAAACAAAGCTGGAGTAGGTGCCACAGGGATCCAGAGAAGTCTGAGAAGCTTCTCTGAGACCAGTACATGGACCTAAAGAAGGCCCCTCCGAGGACACACCTTCTCTTGACACTGCCCAGTCTTGCCCAATGTCTAGAACAGGAGAGAGACAGATGCCAACACTCCTTTTGGTGACCCTTTAAACTGTGACCAAATAATTAAAAAAGCTGGACAGCAAGGTGTCTGATGAAACCTCAGAAAGCCACTTCACCCTTTCACTTTCAGGACAGTAAGACCACCACAGACCCCTCTGACTTATTCCCTGGATCCCCTTGGACCATGTTTAATTGGCTCATTTCCTCCACAGAGTGAATGCTGAGCACCGCAGGCCACATATGGGCCCACTAAGCTGGGAAAGCTGGTCACAGAGGAAGAGCAGGTGGTTTGCAAGTCAGTGCATGCTTTGTTGGGGTTTTCTGCCCATAAAACCCACATCTGCTCGGAGTCTTTGCGAGGAACCCTGGAGGTCATCTAGCACTCATTTTTATAGGCGAAAAAGTGAGGTCAAGGGAAAAATGTCTTACAATTCAATTTAATTTCAAATTAACTAATACTTACTGGAGGAGCTCTGGTAGCATAGTGCCTAAGGCATTTGACTGCTAACCAGAAGGTTGGCGGTTCAAACCCACCAGCCACTCCTCGGAAGGAAGGTTGGGCAATCTACTTCCGTAGTGATACTGCCTCAGCAACCCAAGGAGGGGTCACTATGAGTCGGGGCCGACTCAACGGCACATAACAATAATACTTATTGGTTACTGTGCTGAACTCTGGAAAAGCATAAAAAGGTAAGTACCTGGAGCCAAACAGGGATATGACAAATAAGCACATCATTTAAAAAAATACTATTCTGTATGGCTTCTGGGTTTTGTGTCTTGTTTAAGGACACTTTCCCTACTCTGACATTATAAACATACTCTGGTATTTTCTTCTAATGTTTTATGGATTGAGATTTTGTTATTTAAATTATATATATAGTATGTTGTTTTTGTTGTTGTTATGTGCCCTCGAGTTGGACCCAACTCATAGCGACCCCTCCCTGGGTTTCCGAGGCAGTATCACTATGTAAGTAGATTGCCCCATCTTCCTTCCGAGGAGTGGCTTGTGGGTTTGAACCGCCAGCCTTCTGGTTAACAGTCAAATGCCTTAGGCACTATGCTACCAGAGCTCCCTATATATAGTACAGGAAATATATATACATGGTATAAAATTCAAAAAGTAAGAAGGGCAGAAATAAAAAGTAAACCCCTCTCCTGTCTTCTACTCAGTTCCTTCTCTCAAAGGTACCGCACAAGTTCCTTCAGTATTTTTCTAGAGATACTCCACACACAGATTTATTCTAATTCATGTCAAAGAGTCTGATTAGTGGCACGAAAGAGGAAGCTCAAAGCTAGCATGATCACATCTTGTGTGGCAGAGATGAGGAAAGGCTCCGTAGAGGAAGTAGCATTTCAGATGGAGCTTTATTCAAGGGAGGTGGTAGTTTGAAGCAGATGAACTGAAACAGGAAAGCATAGTGTAAGCCCAGGGAAAGTCAAGTAGCTCAGGTTAGCTAGGTTGCAATAATAAAATGGAGAAAAGGTGGCTTTAAAAAAAAAAAAAAAAAAGTGAAGACAAGAAACCAGTTTGTATACATACACACAATGGAATACTATGCAACATTAAAGAATAATACAGAATCTGCAAAACACTGCATAACGTGGATGAACTTGGAGGACATTATGCTGAGTGAAATTAGTCAATCACAGGATGACAAATGTTTTATTAGTCCATTATTGTAAAAAACCAAGGAAAGGTTTACATATGGAAGGAAATTTTCTTTGTTGGTTACTAGGCGTGGGAGGGAAGGGGAGGGAACACTGCTAGACAGGTAGAGACAACTATTGATTTTGGTGAAGGGAAGGGCAACGTACCAAATGTAAGTGCTCAACACGGTAGCACTGAAGAAGAGGAAGACATAGAGAGGTACACGGGAGGTACAGACAACAAAGATGAACCCTTTTGCACATACAGTACTGCCTTGTCAGCGATGGCAAACACTGATCTGCACGGGTGGACAGATGAGTAGACAGGCTGAATAATTAGGTATGTCTATGAAGTGGGGAGTGTGCCCATGACCATGTATAGGGTTGGCAGACAATGCTTCTACAAGTGTATTTGTATGTTCTCTGAGAATTCCTGGCAGCTCTGGTGGTGTATTGCCTAAGGCATTTGACTGCTAACCAGAAGGCTGGTGGTTCAAACCCACCAGCCACTCCTTGGAAGGAAGTTTGGGCAATTTACTTCCATAGTGATACCATCTCGGAAATCCAAGGAGGGGTCACTATAGCTGGATTCGACTAGATGGCAGTGAGTTTGGTTTTTTGGAGTAAGAATTCCCAGGTATATAGTGAAGTCAGAGATGACTCGACGGCACCTAACAACAACAGTAGAGCTGACAAGGGACAAGGCTGTAGTCACTTCTTAGCCACAGCCTGCTACTCAGGAAGAGTTAATAGTTAGACCTGTGGGCTTGGGACCATGGTCGCAGGGGACATCAAGCTTAACTGGCATAACATACCACACAAAAACATTGTTCCACATCCATCTTTGGTGAGTAGCAAATGGGATCTTAATACCTTGCAAGCGGCCATCTAGATGCAACAATGGGTCTCTCCTCATCCAGAGCAAAGAAGAATGAAGAAAACCAAAGTTACATGGAAACAATTAGTCCAAGTGACTGGTACACCATTCAATCCTCAGCCTATACAACTATGAGACCAGAAGAACTAGATGGTGCCTAGCTACCACTGTTAACCACTCGGAAGCAGGGTGGGAGAACAATGCGGAACAAAACTCAAGAGCATTTGAAAAAAAGGGACCAAGTTTGCTGGTCTGATAGAGCCTGGTGGAACCCCTGAGACTATGGCCCCTCACTTATCTTCAGGTCTGGAATTGAACCCACTCCTGTGGCTTCCAGCCAAACAAAAGTCAGGCACATGAGCTGAACATCTATATTAGGTAGACATACTCCTTAGAGAGATCAATCATAGGACAATAGAAGGGCTGTGTATACACAGGGAGACAGCTTGGGGGGGCAGAAGTGCATGAGAGAGAAGGACACAGAGAAGAGGTGGCTATGGGGAGGAAGTGGAAGGAGAGCTGTTGTATTGTGGGAGATTGCAGTCAATGTCATGAGACAAAGTATACGTGAACTACTGTGTGGAAAGTGAATGTGCTCCGTAAACTTTCACCCAAATAATGATTAAATAAATAAATAAACACATACATAATTGCAAAGTGCATTTGAGTTGTCATAGAAAATCAAGCAGGTATACAAAGTACTCAGACAAATTGGATTTGAATCCAAAAAA